TGGAATCTGCGGTGCCGATCGTTGTGTTGATGCTGCTGCCGCCGATGGTGCTGCTAGGTCCCATCGTGTTGAGCTCTGTGCGGCTGCGCGATGTGCTAATGCTGCTGATGGTGTTGCTGGGTCCCGTCGTGGAGGTGGAGGTGGACGGTCGGATGCTGGATGCCGGAGGTCGGAGTCCTGGGCTGGTGGAGGTCGGGGTGCTGGAAGCTGGCTGCTGGATGCCGGGGTGCTGAGCTGGGGGTTGGAGTGCTGAGCTGGTGGAGGATGGGCGTCGATAGGGTGAGGTGGAGGTGAAAAGTCGGCTGGTGGAGGCTGGAGGTCGGGATGCTGAATTGGTGGAGGTTGGACGTCGATGGGTGGAGGTGGGGGTGGAAAGTCGGCTGCTAGAGGTCGAATGTCGAAGTAATGAGGTGGTGTGTGCTGGAGGTCGCTGGGTGGAGGTGGAGGTGGGCGGTCGGATGCTGGATGCTGTGGGTCGGAGTCCAGAGTTGGTGGAGGTCGGAGTGCTGGGTGCTGGATGCTGGAGGTCGGGGTGCTGAGCTGGAGGGCGGAGTGCTGAGCTGGTGGAGACTGGAATGTGATAGGGGGAGGTGGAGGTGGAAAGTCAGCCGCTGGGGTCTGGGGGCCGGAATGTTGAGCAGGTGGAGGCTGGGCGTCGATGTGTGGAGACGGAGGTGGGCGGTCGGACGCAGGATACTGGCGGTCGGAATGTTGAGCTGGTGGAGGCAGGAGGTCGGAGTGCTGAATTGGTGGAGGTTGGGGATCGACTTGTGAAGGTGAAGGATGTAAACTATGTTCGGGAACAGGTGGCCTACCTCCCACCTGGTCGGGTTCTGGGAGGGCGGGTGGACATGGATGTGCGCCCGAAGAACTCCCTGCCCGTGCTGTGCGTCGAGGTCGAATGGGCAGCTCGTGTCTCCATAGCTCGTCGGCCTGCGTGCCGTCGACGGCCCGCGGGCGGGCGTTGATCCTGTTCTGCAAGCCTGTGCTGGTAGCCGGAGAGGTTGGAGAAGATGAGGATATGGTGCCGGATGAATGCCGATCGTGCAAAATAGTAGTCCTGGCATTGCTCCCCGTGCCCGCATCCACCGACAACGCCGAAGATGGCGAGGGTGCAGAAATGGAGGAATGAGTTCATGTCGAAAGCGTCGTCGTCGGAGTTGGCCCCATAAAAGAAATAGAGGGCGGCGTAGGAAGAAGACGTGTATTCCCAAGTGAACCTGAGTTAAATTCGACATTGTGTTCCGCGCGCCAGGGGGGCGCACGCGGTAAGAAACGCTCGGGGCAGGGAGGCCAAGACAATTTCGTGACCCTTGCCTCCCGCTGAGCCGAAGCCTGTTCGGAGAGAGTGCGTTCCCAGGTCGAGGCAGAGGTCGACGTAACCAGCACCCCCTTCTTTGTAGAAAGGAGGATCAGCTGGTCCCAGTGGTCTGGAAGAGACGCCACCGCCTCCGAGCCAATGAAGTCCACGATCAGAGCCGCCGGATCGTACATCAGCGTCGTGTGTCCAAAAGCCACGCCCGCGAAGTTTCGTAGTCGAGCTCGGAGGTCTCGCACTAGTAAGGTCACCTGTAATGCAGTCAGCGCGGAAGCTGAGCATGTTTGCGTGTACCCGTATAGCACCCTCCGGCCGTCTTTGTCATTAGGGCTCGTCATCGGCCGACTCCACGAAGTGACCTCGTTGACTACCATGGTGCGGATCATCCGCAATAGTCCGTCCTCGCACTCCGTCGGAAAATCGATGATGATGGCCTCTTCCTCCAAGCTGCGGGCCCCGTTCCCCATCCAGTGCTTGACGGTGGGCGTCGGCAGAGCATCGGTGGTGCTGCCGAGGGTGATGATGGCGAGGTGCTGTTCCAAGAGCCTGGGGCCAAGCTGGCCCTCGGTGAGCACGCGGACGGGAGGCTCCAGAAGAGTCAAGGATTCCACCCGCTTGCCCCCCTCTCCCTGCAGCAGATGAGGTGACCAATAATCCAACACCTCCTCTGGCGAGAGGCGCCCTGGCAGAACAGGCCGAGATATCAGGAACGACAGCTGGGCCGTGCTATTCTCCTCCCGGATTGCCCGGAAGAGCGAAACCCACCTGCCCGTGCTCGTGGGGTCGTCTGGGGCCCAGCATATCCAGTGGTGGTGGGTCCCGGACTCGAGAAACGTTGCCGCCCCAGTCGACGGGTCCTTGGCCGCCTGCTCACGGAGGAGACGCGCCGTGAGTGGCGAGCAGTCCAAAGTGGCCAAGCTTCGCCCTTGCTGGTTGGAGAGTTGCGTGGCCACGAGCTCCCCCACGGCGTCGTCGAACTCGTTCTGCAAGAAGTTGAGGAAGGGGAGCTCCACTTCGTGGTATCTGTCGATGGTGGTCTTGGCCCGTCGTCGCCGTGATTTCCGGACTGCCGGAAGCAGCTGCCGGCATTGCCGGCCCGCGTCTTCCAGCCGCTCCACGAGTTCGATGCACTTGGCGCGTATATCAGGGTCATTCCGCTGAGTAGCCACGGCATGTAGTAGATGGCTGGCCAGTCGCACCTGCGACTCAATGGTGCTCTCGTCCGGTAGGGGGCCCTCCCCCCAGCAGAGACCGAGTTTTTCCCACGGTAGGGGGTTGTCCATCTGGAAACCGAGCATGCGGAACCCGGCCAGGACGTCCTCGAACGATCGCAGCATGTTCAATGGATCCCAGGATTCCAGATTTCTGGCCACGGCCCTCCCCGCCGCCATGTTGTCGGCGTGCAGTGTGATGTGGTCCTCGAGCATGCTGAGCAACAGCGCCGACATGGAAGTTGGTGCTGGCGCGGGCGGTGTCCCAGGAAGGCCGGGCGGCGCGGCACCTGGCGGTGTTGCGTCCCTGGGGGGAACTCCCGGGGGCGCGGATATATCTGCTGCCAGCGATAGCGTAGCCGCGGCCTGTGTCAGCCCCGTGTCCTCCTCCATTCCCTCTTGGTCGGCGTTGTCCATGCCCCCGCCGAGGCTGAGCGCCAGGTACACCATCGACTCGTTCGCAACCTTGTAGTCCGACAGCCTATGGCCCATAAGCATCTGCCTCCCACCATCTATAAGACGCTGCCGGTCCTGGGGGATACCCGCTTTGTCATGGACCATGTCCTGGAGGGAGTTGACCATGGCATCGGCCGCGATGTCCAGGTTGATGGGCTTCTGGTCTGGTACGTCCACAAATATTTGTAGATCTGAAGCTGCGGTAATGGTCTCTGTCGCTGCGCGAGGCCCGTCGGCTCGGGAGCTAATGGTGTCCTGGTCGACGGAGCTGTCGTAGGCCTGGCCGCCGTGAGTGTCACGGTGGAGATGGCTGGAGTCGGATTTGTCGTGGTGGGATTGGTGCTTGATGCTGCCGATGTCTTGAAGTGTGGGGCCCCCCTCAATCTATCGCCCCCCCGAAAATGCTTCAAACGACCAGCGCGCAATCTACACTTATGCGTTTCTGCTTATTTCGGTCCTGACAACTGCATTTGTTCATGTTTCTCTTGGTTTCAGATATTGTAACAATACGTAGGACAGCTACATGACGTGGAGCATCAGCCAATAACCGAATCCACACACGTAAACTAAATGTACGACTGATACGGCGGAAGCCAATGAATAAAACATGAAGCACGGAGAACAAGTCATAACCCCCCTCCCGACGGCACAGCGCACAGAACGCTTCACACTGGAGAAACATCGGGTGTCTCTGAACATATGGCACTCGTAAGCCGACCTACTAGGAGGCGTCTGGCTCAATCTGGCAGGTTGCGGGCACGGCCGAGGGAGCACGACCGCCTTGACGATCAGCGCTGGAAGAGCGGCAGCTGGAGGGACGGCAAAGGAGGCAAGACGGTGGAGGAGGAAGTGGCTCGGCGAGCAGCGAGGGGGAACCATGAAAAGGAAATTGGGGGGGAGGGTCGAAGGGCGAAGCTGCGGAGGAGGAATGGGGAATCAGAACCGTCAGGGAGGCCCGAATGTTCTTTCACTAGCGCACCCAACATCAAGATTTCTGAAACGTGCTTCCGACAGGCATGCCACGGCGAGGCCAGCCGCCAGAAGAACTAGAGACTCGGACGCCCGGCCACATCACACGAAAACGCAAAAATGATACAGAGCAGCGACCCCTACAGAGAACTTGCACCCACTCGAACGCACAAAGGGCAGCCCCAGCCGCTGCCTCTCGTCACGACCCGTGCGTTCCACGCACTGTCCGCATGAAACTCTGCATTTCGAAGCTGGTACCCAAGCCTTTGATTATTTCTGATGGCATCTTCGATCTAGATGGGCGGGTCTGCGCACTGGCTGTGCGCAAGCGAACTGTCGGAGTCTGACGCCAGACTCCTTGCTATCTGACTGGCACGGGATGCTGAGATTGAGGGCATAGGAACAAGGGCGGCAACGACGATAGGGGCGATGGGCATGACGTGCGAAGCCATCGACGCAGCAGCGAGCATCATAGACGACACCACATATGACAATGATGACACACTCCCCCTTCTTGGCAGAAGTGGGGAGAAAAAAAAAAAAAAAATAATAAAAAAAAAAAAAAAAAAAAAAAAAAAAGAAAAAAGCAACAGAAAAAATGAAAAGAAAAAAGAGGAAAAAATAAAAACAAAGAAAGAAAAAAAAAAAGTAAAAAAAGAGAAGAAAAATAAAAAAAAGAGGAAAAAAAAAAAAAAGAAAAAAAAACAAAAAAACGAAAAAAAAAAAAAAAAAAAAACAAAATAAAAAATAAAGCTGAAGAGGCGAGACGGAGAACTCAGCGCTGGCTCCGCATCAGCATATCAAACTAGAGGCCCCCATGAACCACCCGACTCCTCGTCATCTCATGTGTTCCTGCATGATCCTCGTTACCCTCACCCTACGTCCACGGGCAGCCCTGCTGAAAACCGCCGCGCAGCAGCGACGCATGGGAAAGAAGGCTAGGTAGACGGAGGTGGGAAATGAGGGTCTGCTGAGTGTAAGTGCGAAGAGGGGGAGAGAGAGGAGCACGGCACTGAAGAGCACCGAGTCTACCTGCCAGCGGCCACGAGCTTCTCGAGCTCCTTGAGGAGCGCACGAAGGATGTCCGAAGCCTTGTTCTTCAACAAGTAGTCGGCCTCGTCTGACTTGGCCTGGCCGCGAAGCGTGCAAACAACTGTGAGGCTTGCGATCGCCGTCACGGCCCTCCTGGCCGACACGTACGTGGTGTTCACCATGTCAATCTTCTCTTTGATCTCGCTGCCGTCAGAGCTGTCCTCGACAGCCCACGCGTTGAACACGCTGCCGAGGGAAGACAGGCAGTGGTACATCCTGACGGTCTTCTCGTTCAAGACGTCTTTGTTAGCATGGTTGTGAACGTGAGACTTGGCCATGGACCGATTGAACGTGTCATCTGAAATCAGATTGCCGTAAATTTGCGTCACCTTCTGAAGCCCCAGGCTCTCGTCCACGCAGACTTGGAGCACCTTGCCGAATATAGCATTGGATGGAAAGCCGATGGTCTTCTCGGCGGCAAGTAAGAAGTCGATCATCTGAGCGCACGTGGGGGACAGGTCAGCCAATGAACTAGCATGGGAATCCTGTAACTTCTCCAATGCCTCCGCCCCGATAGCGATGTGATCCCTGCAGGGGTCCACGGCCTTGGTGATCTCGGGCTTCAACTCGGTAGTCTTCATAACGATCTCCGTGGCGCCGCTGGTGGAGCAGTCACCCAAGAACCGCACGCTGAGAAAAGCAATCAACGATGCAACCTTGTGCATGTCACACCAGAGCTTGATCAAGATCTGGAACGCGTCGTCGGGAACGGCGCAGCAAACCTTCGGCACGGAAATGCGACAAGCGAATGATAAGCTGGGGATGGAGTGGGGGGTGGTTGTAAAGGGACTGGCAATGAGAAAGAGCCTGGCGTAGATGAAAACCAAGAAGGCTTAAGGTAACGAAGGAATAATACATCATAGTTTTCTGGAGTTACGCTTTCAAACCAACTGACCTTCAAGCCAGCAGACCCGACGATGGGCAAGTCCAGCTGAACAGATCCACGATTGAGCACCGTCACGAGCGAGCCCACGGCGGAGCAGACCTGGTCACATGCCCAAGCCTGGCTTGCGGAGCCAAGGGCCTTGCACACATTGTCATTGGCCGTCTTCGCAAACTCCGACGTGCAGAAACAATCGACGGCTGGCACCCACTGAGCTGGCATTTCCGACATGGCCTTCGGAATCAGGAGCCCGTCGAACCCAACTGCGCCTGAAAACTTAGTCAACGATTCCTCGAATGCGCCGTCGAGAACTCCCCGCAGAGCCCTAATGAGCGGGAGCTGCGTAACGACGTCGGCGAGGCCGTAGGCTTGGACGACCGATGCTGAAGTTGAGGTCGCACCGCTGCCGATGGAGGAGACCACGATCGGGTCGCGCTCGCCAGAGAGACATTCAGGCGACTGGAATTTGAGCGCATCGACCTTGTCAGCCGGTGTCACAACGTTGATGTATACTTGAAGAGAGGACGAAGTATCCGAACCAGCCGACTGAGACTTTACCCAGCTCTGCAGGGCTTGGGAGCTAGTGTCCACGGACGTTAACGAACCCAATGCCTCGATGATCTTCACAATGGAATCGCGGACGCAGACATTCGTGTCAAAGACCTTCAAGTTGTCCAACAACACCGTGGGGCTCGGCTACATGGAGTCCTTCAATACTTGAGGCAACTGGTCGATCAGCCGACAGATACGCGAAAGAGAAGACGTCAACGAATTTTCACTCGACACGACAGCGTGCTGGATAGATTGGGCCAAGCCAGAGTAACCTGCAACGTTGATGGCGGTCCCGTCGGCGCTAAAATCTGCCTTGAGCAGCTCGCCGATCCCAGTCGCAAAGCAGCCGCCCGCCAGGCAGCATACCATCATGCAGTCGATGCGCGCGAGCACGTCGAATGCCAGATTGAAGAAGTTACCCACTGTAGCAATCTGCTCCTCAGTGCGCCTCCTGTCCCACAGCTTCACGGCCTCGCACAAGTGAAGTGGTCTACGGGCTCATCGATATTAGCGAACACCATCATCGATGCGATATCGTCGAAGCCCTGGGCATGCCACACAGTGCCCTCGGCCTCGCTCTCCGCAAGTTTCTGCGCGAAGATCGGCATCATGGACGTGTCCTCGATAATTTCAACAGCGCGGAGCATCTTCTTGTCGCCCAGCGAGTCTTTGGCGGTCAGGGCAAGCAAGTTCTGAGCGGAAGCGTAGAGTGCGACAGCGGTGTCGCCGAAATGCATCACCTGCTTGATCCCAGCCATCGCTTTGTTAGTCTCGACGAAGCTGACCGACTCGCCAACCCTCTTGGACGACACTTGGGAAGGATTGACGGTGACCAGGACGATGGTGTTGATGTGCCGCACGCAATCAATGGTATCGCCGACCAGGGTAATGTACTCAGGGTGAAGGAAATCAATGACCTTGGACAAATCCGTGAAGAGAAGGTTCGCCTTGCTATCAAAGTCTGTTGTTGTTGCCTTGTCAAGATCAGCGATCTGCGTTGCAATCTGAGCGAGGAGCATTGTTTTGAACCGCTCCGCGACCGACACGTTATGGGAAGGGTTGATGCGTTCGAACGTTCTCTTGAGGCCCTCCACACCAAGGTAGGTCGTCAAGGCGCAGCCAACCGAACTCCTGCTCACCATGACCTCGGTGAGGAACCTGCACTTGTGCCACAGGAGCATCAAGGTAGGAGCAGGCTCAATCGGCGGAGACACTCGACCTCAGACGCAATCACATTGCAGAACACACACGTTATAAAGGGAATTGGTTCCGAACGAATTACGGCACGACAAGCACCTGACACAGGGCCAACTCAACGCAAGAGGGCACACCCCAACATTGAAGTTGAATGAAGGAGGACAACTTCGGATACTCTCATGTCGGATCTAGCGGGTGTGAGTGAGCGTGATAAGCAAACTTGCGTACCAATGCGGTCAGGGCATGAGCACGCGAAGCGCGAATCTAATATTGGCATTGGCGGCGAAGCTTGCCTATGTGAGTCTTATCTTGGCGGCTACAGAAGATGTCTTGGATGAACACCAACAGTTGTTGACGCTAGCATGTGGCAACTGGTGCCCCTGGTACTCCAACGCTGTGGTATGTACATATTGATGCCCAAAATGCGGTCACCATGACTTCATACGATAAAGCACACGCTTGGTTTACACAACACCAGAGTATATGAGAATATTAGGTGCGCCGACGTGGGGGGGACCACCATGCGACACACCGGCAACTGGAGCAATTTAGGGTGGGGGTGGTGCGAATGTGGTGAATGGTTTCGGTGTGATGGGGTGGGAGAGGGTGGTGCGGGTGGTGTTGGTTGCTCCATCTTGGGTGGTTGGTGGTGGGTGGGTGGGTCGCGGGTGAGTGGGTGGTGGTTGGGCGGTGGGTTGCTTTTTGAAGGGAAGGGGGCGCCCCGCTGGGTCAGCAGATGAAAGAAGGCTGGTGGCGGGCGAGCTGGTGCTGGCTGCGTGGCGGGGGCTGGTTCATCGTTCTTGGGTGGGCAGGTGGGTGGGTGGCAGGTGGGTGATGGATGGGTGGGCTTTGGGCAATGAATACATGTGGTGGCGGTGGTGCACCGCCTTGGGCGGGCGGACGGTGGGTGGACGGACGTATGGGCGCATGGCAAGTGGGCGGGGTGGGTGGTACGCAGGTAGTGGGCGAGCGTGGGGCAAGTGGTCGCATCTCTTTGCGGGCGACAACTGCACGCGAAACCATAAGGAGCCCATCCAACCCCCAACTAAAGCCCGACCGACCATCGTCCGACCGAAAACTGAAGCGATTAAGCGACTTACCTAAGCGAAGACTTTGGAACTATGTGGCCGAACGACGCAGTCCATGCTGACAAACCAACTGGCGGACCCCCCCCAACCATCACCACCACCACACACACCACCACCACTACCCACCCAATCCCACCTCCACCACCGCGCACGCACTGCGCCACCCCACCCGACCCGACCACACACACACCACCAACCACACCACCAGCCACACCGACCACGCCACCAGCCACGCCACCAGCTCACCAGCCACACCACAAACCGCACCATCAACAACCCACTAACAAATTTCACGACCAGACCATTAGCCGCGCCCCCAGCCACACCACAAACAACACCAGCCACACCACAAACCACACCAGCCGCCACCAGCCACACCACCAACCACACCAGCCACACCACCAGCCACACCACCAGACACACCACCAGCCACACCGACAACACCACCAGCCACACCACCAGCCACACCAGCCACACCACAAACCACACCATCAAAAGCCCACCAACAAACTTCGCGACCAGACCACCAGCCGCGCCGCCAGCCACACCACCAACCACGCCAGCCGCACCACCAACTACGCCAGCCACACCACCAAGCACACCACCAACCACGCCACCAGCCACGCCAACCACACCACCAACCACACCACCAGCTCACCAGCCACACCACAAACCGCACCACCAACAACCCACCAACAAACTTCACTACCAGACCATCAGCCGCGCCGCCAGGCACGCCACCAACCACACCAGCCGCACCACCAACCACACCAGCCATGCCACCAACCACACCACCAACCACACCACCAGCCACACCACAAACCACACCACCAGTTACACCACCAGCCCACCAGCCACACCACAAACCACACCACCAACAACCCACCAGCAAGCTCCACTACCCGACCGTCAGCCGCGCCGCCAGCCACACCACAAACCACACCAGCCACACCACCAACCATGCTAGCCACACCACCAACCACACCACCAACCACAGCACCAGCCTCACCAACCACACCGCCAGCCACACCGCCAGCCACACCACCAGCCCACCAGCCAAACCACAAACCGCACCACAAACAAACTTCACAACCAGACCATCAGCCGCGCCGCCAGCCACACCTCCAGCCACACCAGCCACGCCACCAACCACACCAGCCACACCAAACACCACACCACAAGGAACACCACAAGCAACACCGACCCCACCACCACCCACACCACCAGCTCACCAGCCACCCCACCGACCACACCACCAACAATCCACAACAAACTTCACGGCCAGGCCATCAGCCGCGCCGCCAGCCACACCACCAAACACACCAGCCACACCACCAACCGCACCAGCCCACACCAGCCACACCACCAACCACACCAGCCACACCACCAACCACACCACCAACCACGCCACCAGCCACACCAACCACGCCACCAACCACGCCACCAGCTCACTAGACACACCTCAAACCGCACCACCAACAACCCACAAACAAACTTCACGACCAGACCATCAGCGGCGCCGCCAGCCACGCCACCAACCACACCAGCCACACCACCAACCACACCAGCCACACCACCAACCACACCACCAACCACGCCACCAGCCACACCACCACACCACGAGCCACACCACCAGCTCACCAGCCACACCACACACCGCACCACCAACAACCCAGCAGCAAGTTTCACAACCAGACCATCAGCCGCGCCGCCAGCCACGCCACCAACCACACCAGCCGCACCACCAACCACACCAGCCGCACCACCAGCCACACCACCAACCACACCACCAGCCACACCACCAGCTCACCAGCCACACCACAAACCACACCGCCAACTACCCACCAGCAAACTTCACGACCAGACCATCAGCCGCGCCGCCAGCCACACCACCAACCACACCAGCCACACCACCAACCACACCAGCCACACCACCAACCACATCACCAATCACACCACCAACCACACCACCAGCCACACCACCACACCACCAGCCACACCACCACACCACCAGCCACACCACCAACCGAGTCACCAGCAACCCACAAACAAACTTCACGACCAGACCATCAGCCGCGCCGCCAGCCACACAGCCAACCACACCAGCCACACCACCAACCACACCCGCCACACCAACAACCACACCACCAACTACACCACCAACGTTACCTTCGAGACCCATTGGATCGCCGCGAAGGGTTTTGTCTTTGCTCCTCAGGCAGAGTGGCAAGTTGCCCATAGTGGAGAATGTAGAAGCCGCGGCGCGCGCGAGTTGCGCGGACGGCCCCAAGCAACCCGCGAGCCGCACGCCGCGCGTGTCACCAGAAATCAGGCCGGTCACTGCTAAGGAGTTGGGTGCAAGTCCATGGCCAGAAACTGGTTTTGCCATTGTGGTATTGTGTACAATACCAAACCCAGGACGCGCGCACCTGAGCGCGCTGTGCGCTGATTCAACTGATTGACATCGTCAACTCAAAACGACTTGGACACATAACTGCTACCGTGAAAGGTTCACTTGGTTTCCAGTGCCAACATAGCGACTTCGCCAATTCCGAGGAGACAAAACACATGACCCGCGCGCGCTCTCTGGAAGCCCTGCCGATGGAATTGCGGATGTGCCATACATGTGCAAGTCGGGACCCAATTGGCCAACGCCAACTCCACGGGGGCATCTTTTTTTGCCCAAAGCCAACATGGCGGCGCCCCCGCTGCTGATCACGCGTATCGCCTGACGCGCGCGGTAGCGCCGATCGGTCGGCGAGCGATGTTAACTCGAAAAACCATTGGTGAACACCCAAATGTAAAGTTCCATTCTCAGATCGAAGAGGCGGCAACACCCACGTGCAATATGCGGATAGCCGAGCACGCAACGCAGCGCGCTGCGCATATCGAAGGCCTTTCGTTTGCGCTTGAAGCGATGCAATCTCCAAAGCCCAATGCTGAACACCAAATGACAATTTTCATTTTCTGATCAGGAGAGGCTGCTGTCTTACTGAGCAGAGAGCCGAGCATGCACCTCAGCGCGCGCGTGCTGAATGCAGTCTCATACAAAAGTCACGCCATGTTATCTCTAAAACCAGATGGTGAAAGCCCAATGTAAATCTACATTCTCAGATCCAAGAGGGCGCCCATTGCAATAAACAGAATATGGCATTGAAAACAACGCGTCGCGCGCGGCAAACGCGCATGCGGCCGCGTGGAATGGCAACTGGAATAGCTCCAGCTCAAGATCCAGCTGTCGCAGTCACACCGCGCGCGCGTAGCGCGCGTGCCGCATGCAGTTTCATACAGAAAAGAGGCGGTGTTAACCCGAAAAGCCGAATGGTGAAAACCAACTGTAACATTTCATTCCGGGACCAGAAGAGGCGACTTTACCAATGTAAAATACACACACCCGCACGCACAAAGCAGATCGCGCGAACACGCTGCGTCAGCGTCGCATACAACGAGCGATGCTAACTCGCAAAACCAATGGTGCGACACCCAATGTAAACACTTTTCTTGGACCAAAAGATGCAATCATCTAGCCCCCCCCCCTCAAAAAAAACAAAAAAAACAGCGCTGACCACGCGACGCACCGCGCGCGCGCAGTGCATTCAACTTCACACAAACAGCGGTGTTACTTTGAAAACCGAAAAGCGGAAACCCAATGTAATTCATTCACTCTCGGATCAGAAGGGGCGCCTTTATCTATGCAAAATATACAGAAGCGACAATTCAACGCAACGCGCGCGCGTGCTGAATGCAGCCTCATACAAAACAAGCGCTGTTGGTTCGAAAACCCAATGGTGAAAACCCAATGTAATTGTTCATTCTCTGGTCAGAAGAGGCGGCTTTATCAATGCAAAATATACAGAACCAAACGCACAACTC